TGTTATGTCGTAGCAATACACCAATCTCCAATCCCCAATGGCAACCTAAAACAACGTCCGTCGCGTTATACGCGCAGCCACAATCACAAAGGCACCCCGCGCCATCCGTCAGCAGAGTTGCCAGGCCATCGTCTACCGTGTATACGGGACAACAATCGCGACTAATTACACCAGCCAATCAGGGAAGATCTGTTCAAGCTACCATGGTCACTGGTAGTCCGTCCAGGTTAATAACGCCCATCTTACAAACTAATCTTACCAGACATCCAGTCGCACAAAACAGACCGCCGACACCGCAAGTAGTAACTGTGTCACAGACGTCGCAACCAACCAGATCGTCGGCACAAACCATTCAAGTAAATCGTATAATATATCTTTATATATAATTATAATACATGTATGTGTAATATTGTACAAGTTTTTTGTTTACTCTTTTATGCACTTTCAAAAACTTACAGTTGTCAAACACAACAGTTTTGAGTCATGGTACACGAATATCGACACAATGCATTCGACCCGGAGGTGAAGGCATACGTGACGGTTGAGTGTACAACTTTTCTGGATTGCACATAAATGTAAAGAGAAAAGCTGTACAATTTATGAACTTATAAATTTTATTGAAATGTTCAGCCCGCTCAGTCTAGCAGACCTCTGACTACGACGGGTACGACGAAACGTATAGCTGTGTCAACACCCATCGCGGAGACAGCGAACAGAATAAGCAGTGCGGCTTCGGTTACCATCGGTTCGGTGGAACCAACAGTAGCTCGACAGTTGTCAATTAGTGGTAACACGGTTGCCGGACCGTCGACCGTTAGCCATATCGTTATTCCTTCTCAACAGGTAGAGATTGTATTCTTTAATTTGCAATATATTGAAAATTCAAAATAATAAACAAATAATAAAAATAATGTGAACAGGTTCAACCACAGCAAGGTGCGCCGCGTGTCGTTCAAACCGTCACGTCCTTGTCGAGCCTCAGTACTGTGTCGCAAGTAATTACAACCACCGCGAATACACAGTCGAATGCGATGCGCATATTGCAAACGGCTCCAACCACGGTTGCGAAAATCGCAACCGTGCAAGGAATGTCCTTGCACCCTTTGCCGATCGCTCTACCGGTCAGGGCTGCATCGGCGCCAATCAAGCCCGCTCCCACGCAGCCTCAAAATATCGGACAAACCGTTCAAGTCAAACCAGCGCCGCAAGCTAACTTACGTATGTCGTCCACCAACAGCAGTACACCCACAAGCTCCACTCAGCCGGTTCAAGGACAGTACATACATCCACCGCATACGACTACTACGTATCTCTCTTTTGAGACTACAGGTAAAATCATGATTTAAAGTAGGCGAACAGATAAATTATTTATCTCTCCTACATTCTTTGTGCTTTAGCGATAAAAATTAATGCTGTGATAAACAGAAGAACTGTATCTTGCTTTTCAGGAACATACTCACAATTGCGACAGGCTTCAGTGCAGCCAGTGAGATTAGTTGTTGAGCCAGGATATGAAGAACCCCACGGGGGTAAACCTAACGCATCTCCCAGACCAAGCATTCTGAGAAAGAGAGATCATGACAATTCACCAGTTAAAGGTATAGTTATGTTAAAATTAGTAAGTACAATTGAAGCCATAAAACATGTACAAGAAATATTCTCGAGACAATATACACGTATAAATATATAAAATAAGGAATGGGATAAATTTAATTAAAACAGCATACTGATAATCTCTTCAAATACATTTTATTAATTTATAAGAAATTGAAAGACTCGATTTTGCAACGTGTTGAAACCTGCTTGTGGAAACATTAAGCTTATATATTTAACAACAAAATATTTATATGTAATAGTTGTGCTTACATATAGAAAGAAAATTCTTGTTTCTAATACGTTGAAGCACTTTAAAACGAAAAGAACACTAGGATAGAAATTCATTAGATATTCAATATTAGATATAATGAAGATACATTTTTTATATATATTTTTTCGATATGTTATCATAATTAATAATTTAGTTGTTTATTTTCTTTATCGTCTATTATGTGATAAGATCTGAAATTTTTTGCTAATAAATTATACTTTTTAATGAAGATTATAGAATTCCATTATAGAATTTCAATTTCACAGGGGAGTCGCAATTTCTTGCAGGTGCAGCTAAAAATTTAGTTCCTGTATTAGCGTCCTTGCCATCAAGTAGATCAATGTCCAGTCCGCCGTGTTCGCCGAAAGGAGATCAGGATGGTGGTGGATGCCAAAGTTCTGGATCCACAACCGTATCTGCCACGTCTTCGCCGGGTCTTGACGAGGAACTTGACCAATCCAGGATTACAATCAATCCCATCATAGAAATGTCACCGAGAAAAAAGCCTCGCAAGCAACAACTTACAGGTGTAGAATTAACTGAGCCTAGATGTACGGAGGAAGAGATGCAATTTATCACGGAGGAAAAATTGAAGAAGGAGAGCAAAGAGGAATCAAAAGAGAAGTTGTCCGACAAAAGGCAACTCTGCAATGTACAAAGTGATATTAAATCGTCTACTCAGCAAACGGAAATCACAATACGGACGCGGCCTGTACCAAGTTTGTTAGGTACATGTAATATAAATTATTACCTTCCGTTATATCCATTCGTAATTTTCATGTTGATTCGGATTACATCTCTTCTAATCACATATCACTTGTTTTTATGGAACATGTTTAGGTTCTTGGAAAACCAAATGGGAAACTAGATTACACCATTATAGAAGACCTAGCGATGTTCGACCCCGTGAGGAAAGAAGACCAACAGTTGCCGAATTGGCGCAACAGAAACACGTATTACAGAAACTAAATGGGTGGAAAATCTATCATCTCACCACACAAATGGAAGATATTGCGGCCCTTGAAAAACAGGTATATCGACTCACTACATTGTTTAGCTTTTCCTTCAATTTATTTGTGCTCAGCGAATCATGTTTGTACGAATCATATATTTGTAGGTTCATGAAAAATTAAAAACGACGCTCATGCTACTGGAATCGCAGCAAACTGTAAAAAGTAAACATAGTGACGGGCTTGAGCGTGTGAATGAACTGATTAAGGGGAACATGCAACGCAGTAGTTTAATCAGCGAAGGCATGAACGAAGCGCGTACACAGCTCGTCGCTATATTTCAACACAAAGGCCCTATTACCGATCTTCTGCAACGCTGTGGTAACAAACGAGCACAGAAAAAGAGGGACAAATGAGCTGTCGTGCTGAATAAATACGTAGAACCTTTATAAACGAACTTCGTTGAAGGAAAGTTCAAAAGGGAGCTATTTTTTATCTGTGTCACAGATTCTATATATAGGAATAAATAAATGGTTTTATAAGTCTAAAAGACATGACTATGTGTCACTATATATAATATGTTTATAATTTTATTATATAAATCTATAACGTTTTTATTTTAATATAATACTTCTTACTCCTCTTAGCCATGTCTTTCTATTCATTTAATTTCTGCCTCCAATTAACTTATGCATATACTTCTGTTTAGACAGAATGCGTCTTTAGAAAGGAATTTGGAATACTTATTACAACGAAATAGGATTCAAATAAGCATTTTCTTCATTTGTAGTATATGAAGTTGTCATGGAGATAACAGATCCTTGAGTCGTGCTGAGTCATGCTTGGTAACGGCAATAGAAATCCTGATAATTGTATATTCATAGACGAGATTCTATAAGAATATATATTTTGTGAAGTTTAGCAAATCTTGAAACAACATGTGGTGGGGATACAGTCAACCGCTAGATTTACAAGCTGAAGTGGCACAAAGAGAAGACCGTGTTTTAAGCAATATTGAAGTATTGATTGTAGGTTCTGGTGATGCACGGCACATTGTGAAGACGCTAGCTTCATCTTACACACATCCCGATCAAACTATCACATATCACGTTATCGAACCGACTTTGGAGCAAGTTGCTAGATCGATACTTTTATTAAGCATTTGCTTAGAGAATGATTTAGGTATGTACTAGCGGATATCAAGTCTACTGGAAGTCAAAGGAGTTAACACATATGTGTGATTGACATACTAAAGGACTGCAAGAGGCGACGCGATATTATTTGGAGATTTTAGGGAACACCCTTTTGAGACCAGCTACGGCTAAATATCTGGCAAAATGCGCCAAACAACTGATCGATATTCCAACTCGGACCGTCGACTGTCCGTGGTTATCGTTAGAAAAATTTAAGCACAAGGACAGAGATAATTTGGAATGCATTTTTAAGTAAGTCAACGTTAAATTTAAGGGAACACGTCATAGGGAAACGATGGTTTCAAACAGTGGCGGATTTTAATATTCTGTGACGCACAAGCGGCACAAGCAAAGCTTAATTTGAAAGATCCTATCATGCAAAGCTCCTAGATGTAGACCTACTGGAAAATTCGCCACTGGTTTCGAGCAAAGGTACTTAATGTCCTCCGCGAACATTTATGTGTCGCATTTCTGTGTGTACCAATTTCTATGATAATTTCTTGTATCAAAGATTCTGGACGCGTGCGACACGCGAGGGAGTTCCCATCGTGAATTATTGGGATCGCAGAATCAGGAAATTATTAAAAACAAGATACGATTACAGAGAAGGCGTTTTTGACTGGGATTATTATATGGTTTTAAAGCCCAGATGTACCACTAATCTTACTGTACAAGAATATAGGTACGTTTGTACGTAGTAAGCGTACAGTTAAAGCTGTATACAAATTTTATGATCAGAGCAACGAGCTATGCTACCTCAGATGAAATAATTATTTCAATTTATGAATCAGCTGCGAAAATACAGTGTATTATTATTACAATTATTAGATTTTGGAGAAATAACGGAGTAGCTTTTACATGGCTTGAAGGGGAACCAGTCAGGAGCAATCCGACTCTGTTAAACAATATAATTCAACATGGACCTGGCTTTATACATTACGCGTACTTGGGAGACATCGTGAACGGTCCCTTTTTTACTTGGTCCACTGTTGAAAAAAACGGAGACAAGTAATAAAATATATTCGATGGACAAATGCGCGCTTGTTTCCCATATAATAAAATAAAAATTCTTAAATTCGTACATATTAAAGGCTCAGGGCAACCGACATTGCCGAACGTGAGGTAATGCGTGCAATTCACGAAATAAGAACGAAAGAGCCACTGTGCGAGGATCACGTCGGTGCTCACAGGGATGCTTCAATTTTAAATGGCATTATAGTGAGCCAAATGCCGGACATTGAAATGGAAAACGAATCGTGGATAAGCACCGAGGAGAAATCTAAGAAGGATAAAAAAATTTCCTGGATGGAAGTACCAAATCACAAAGTACGTTTCGTATGCTCTGCAACGAGCCAATGAATATTTTGTACATAATAGTTTCATTTTTAGATAATCTTTCATCCTGCAACGTCGCTGGAATCTCTCAAGTCTAAATGTGAATACGTAAATAGATTCCATCTGATTTGGGTGGCACATAATATGACAAAACAATTGGCGAATCTGGCACCGTTGATATCTACCGATGCTCCGATAATTGTGGAATTACGTAAACACATGGCAGATCTTCGCAAAGAGGATTTGCAAAACTTTACCAGAGAACTGAAAGAAATCGCGCAGGAGAATGGACTCCGTTCACTTTACGACTTCGATTCTAATGAACATATTTTTGCTCGTTTCTGCAAGGATTAAGTCACTAAGTAGTTGGCTATATCTTAATAGTTAATATTAATTATAAATATACATCACGCATGTGCAATTAAACTAAAATAAAAAGTTTAATCAAAGAAATATGGATATTTTATAAAAAATAAAATGTCCGTTTAAGCTCAAACTGAAAAAACGAATCAACAATTTTCGATCTCTATTAATTAAAGGCAGTTTCTCTAAACGATAAATCTTTTTTTTATTCTTATCTTTCTTTTTTAAGTTTTATTGGATTAATGTAAAATTTTCAATATGTTTCCATACGTTTTTAGAAAATCAGGAAGTTATAGTATTTAAAACTGAGATGTATTCGTCCAGTTTACCATCTTATTCTATGGAAGAATATATAATATATGAAATAGGTAAGAACAAACCAAAGAGATCCTTTCCCATTGCTTTAATCATATACTACATAATTTATATATATTATGAATCTATAATATATAGTCATTATTTCAACAAAATGTACAAAATGTTCACATATGTAAAAGTGCTTGTATCACTTGATCATCAAATAGTTGCATCGCACAATATTATACTTTTATATTCTTGTACTGGCTAGTTCTTTAGCTACTTCGGACACTGCGTCCCTATCTTTTTCTTCCTCCTCTTCTTCAGATTCTGTATCACTTTCTGGAAAGTCAGGAAGCGCTAAGGAATAGATATGATATTAGAGATTAAAAGATATAAAATAGATAGAGGACAGAAGCCAGAGAGAGAGTTATTCTTACCAAGTCTATCTATCTTCTCCTGCCAGGCATCATTTATAAACTTCTCTTGTACCGCTATTACTTCTTCAGGACTTGCGCAACGAGCGTACTTCTCCAACAATTCGCCGTTCAACTCTAGGAACGAGTCTCCCCAACGGAACTTTTCGAGATACAGCTTAGCCTCGTCCGGGAATCCCGTTATAATTAAAGTAGCCACGATAGCCTCGACGCAGCTCAACTCGCAGGGCTTCCCGAAGTTTGCCGGATTGGCAGCGACCAAGAAGGGCAGTATGCGACGATGGCCCGTCTTCACTCTGGGTGTGTCGTCTATACGTGACCAGCTGCAATCCACAACCGCACAGCCGTATTTCTCCACAATTTCGCGATCCAGCGGAGTCACGCACTGCAACGTCTGCAACCGATATTACATCCGAGATTATCTTCTGGACGAGGTGGCCGCTGTTTGTGTACCATGTTGCTTCTCCGTTCTACCAGCTATACCTTGCTGTCCACCGGAGTAAGGCACAGGCCTGGAAATCGCGCGTCCAGTCGCAGCAGCTTTGTCAAGCCATGTCTCACCAGCTTCCTGCCGGTGCTTCTCCCGGGGTCGCGGTGTTTCAGGTCAATCAGGTCCCACATCGCCACGGGAAACGGCAACGGCCACTCGTTTGCTGTCTCTGCAAGTTCGAAGACACAGTCCCAGTAACCGTTGCAAGACGCGAATTCCCAACTCCCAAGGAAATTCATCCCCGAATCTAACCTGTCTCGTCATTCTCCTTGTCCGATCCCTCGGACTC